ACATTTTCCTTAACAAAAACACATCTCCATCCCTCATTCATACCTTGTTTTAAAGCCGCAACATACTCTATTTTTCTTGTATACACAGCTGTTTTCCCTACTGTTATTTGTAGCTTTAATTATTTGATTTCTAGTGAAAACAGTACAAAGTGAGCAATGTGAATACATCAGTATTCTTTAGATCAGTTAAATACATCCCATAATTTTCAGAAATATTTACTTTTTCATAGTATGATCTATCAATGAGGAACAAGGCATGTTTACTAAGAGACCCAAATATCATTAGTTCCTCTGTGATAAGAAGCCAGAGATAAACCTATGTTCAGTAATTAATGTTTCATTATTTTATTTTATTTGGAAATACTCTTGATGTTCTTTGAATTTCTATCATTTAATTTAGTTAGCAAAACTTTAATGTTTCAGAAAGATTTAGGAAACCATTTTTTTAAGTACACATGAAATATAATTATTGATAAAGAGTTCACCTGCAGAAAAAGCTCTGCCCTACTTACCATTTATTTAATTTACTTGCTCTTAACAATTACGTCGGTTACTTGTGAGAATTTCATCATACCAAGCTCTTTTTCTTGTTGACAAATTTTGCAACATAGGTAACATAAACTTACTTGACTAATAAACCCAGGTAGAATGAAAGTATACAAAATGATGATAACTGCACGGACATGCGTGTTTAACCAAACCAAACTCAGACCAGCTCCAGTAGCAAATATTTCCTGGAGCATGTGATCCGGAAAAGCATTCGGATTCATTTCTATTCTATTTTTGAGAATTTTTTTTTTTTTTAATAAAAGCTTTATTTTTTTAAAAAAAGATTTTTTTGGGGTTGGCCGAGTGGCTCGTTGTTTAAGAGTTGGCTTGGGGGGGGGCCAGCCGAGTGGCTCACTTGGTTAAGAGCTCGCTCAAGAGTTTGAGCTCTGAGCAACAGCGGTTCGATGCCTGGCCCAAGCTGAGCTGCCGCTAAGCTGCCAATAGGTAGCAGGATGGCTCAGCAAAAAAAAAAAAAGAGTTGGCTTGGGAGCGCAAGCTCTGAGGAGTAGGGCCCCAGTTCAGATCCCACATGGGCCAGTGACACTGCTCCCTCCCTGCTAAGATGGTGAACAGCAGCTCGACCTGGAGCTGGGCTGCCTTGAGTCAACGGCGAGGGCGTAGGCTGCAGTGGGGCTGCCATGAGCTACCGTGAGTGGCCAGCAGCCAGCCAATGGCTGGCGACCAATCAGCCTCAGCTGGGAAGAGCGCAGTGATCATACTACCAACATGGGCCAGTGAAGCGACGTCCTTCACAACTAGACTGAAGAACAAAAGGACAGCAACTTGTCTGTTCCCCATCCCCAATTCCTCAATAAAATCTTTTTAAAAAAAATAGATTTTTATTAGGTAACAGTGTGTTTTTCCAGAACCCATCAGCTCCAAGTAGTCGTTTCAATCTAGTTATGGAGGGCACAGCTCAGTGGCCCATGTGGGGATCGAACCGACAACCTTGGTGTTATGAACACTGTGCTCTAACCAATTGAGCAAATAGGCCGCCCCTTTGAGAATTTTTATGTAAGTGCTGGTTTGTTTAAGCCATTTGAATAGAGCTCTTTTACAAATTAGCAATGTCATTGGAGGTAGAAACCACTACACAACACACATGAACGTACAGACAGACACCTTGGTTTTAAAATCATTGCCATGAGATGGATAATATGCTAACCTACTCAGATGGTTAAGGCTTTTTCTAATTAATGTTTGTGGGGAAGACAATTAAAATTGGTATTTGTCCTTGGCAAGGGAGTCTTAGAGCCAGAGAAGCAGTTTGTGGTTTCAGGAAGACACTAATCTCCCATTTTTTTTCTTCAGTCTTAGGAAGCGGGGCTGATAAAGTTCAGTGGACCGGAACTGCTCCCAGAGCTGTGTTTCTGGTCTCACAGAGATTTGTAAGATAAGGACACTGCTCTGAGTTCCCAGAGTTGGGTTGTAACCTAAGTGACAGCATAGGCTGACCTACCTGTCCAACTGCATCATCCCTAACCTGTGTCTTTCCCTCTGGGGACAGTTTCATTGTAGCTTAGGGAGGAGCCTTTAGGAAATTCAGGTTAGGCTCTGAGTCCTCAGCTTCCCGTTCCACGAAATTTCTGATCTAGAAGTTACTACGTCCTTTTGGCCATCTTGAGAGGTTTCAGCCGGGATAAGCAGTCAATGTTTCTGGTGGCATTAAGTGATCGCACAGACCCAGGAGGGTGCAGAAGGCATCGCCCTTCTGATGGCCTGCACGTCCCAGGCAGGCGGCAGCCACGCCAGGCCCGGGACGCAGGCAGCAGCCACGGGGAAGCCATCGGGCTGGGTTTGGGAAGGAGGCATCCATGAGGTTTTACTTCTCTCTTGCTGGGCTTAGCAGGCCGTCCATTCACAGAAGCCTGAGGCCCCCCTGGCTTTTCCAAGTTCTCTAGAGGCGGTCTTTCCGTTGGCCTTCGGCCCCTGCAGCGGGCCACCTGGAAGGGAAAACGGCAGCCTCACAGTCTCCGAGGTACCTCTTGTCTCATTGCCCATTAGGCCTTTGCAACAAAGCTTTCAATGACGCTATTAAAAACTTTCTTAAAAACCTCTTCCGTTCCTAACCGTAGACTCCATTAGGGCTTGATCATTGGGTTTCGGTTTTACATTGCTTCTGGCCAGCAGTGTCCCATAAATCATTCAGGTAAATCGAATGACTTTTTTTAACATGCAGCCTGTTTAAACATTCCAATTTCCATACTCTTACCAACCTTCTATTTCCATATTCTTGCAACCTAATCGTAGCCTGAGTCCGGGCTACGCCAGTGGGTCTTGTTACCACAGTTTGTGAATTCCCATATCAAGGAGTCCTGGAAATTTCTCTCCTGTACCCTGGCTGTGTTACCCACTCTTGAGTCAGAAGGCTTTGAGTCCCCAGCAAGGGGTCAGTCAAGGCCCTGGTCCTTTTGTCAGCCTTTATGTTCATTAAGCGACCTGCCTGCTGATGGGGCTTCTCGTCGTAATCTCTGCCTTAGTGACTTTTTTAATTTCTCCAAACGGGGGTAAATAGAGCAGGCTTTCCCGGCAAGGCTGGGGGACTAACGGGGCCCCTTTGGCCAAGCTTTGGGAGTCTGCGTGAGACCCTAACGCGTCAGTGTCTGTTCTGTTCACCCCGTATCTTGGTCACCATCCAGACCCGCCCTTCCCGGTGAGGCTGTGACGCTCACTTCCCTTTCTGTCTCTGTGTCACTCTGTCCATGTTTGCCTTATTCACCTTATTTCTTAATATCCTTTGCTACAATTTTTTCACTTTCTTGGAAAAAGTCTTGACCCTTCCCTTCAGCCATCCCACACTCTCTTGTTAATTAACCTGATGTTTTATTAGCATCTGTCAGACCCGCGAGGGGAAGCCGAGACGGCAGATTCAATAAGGCGTCCCCAGCTGGTTTTTGTTTGTAAGGCTTGTAGTTCTATTTCTTTATGTTCATTTTTTAATAATTTGGCCTCTCTCTAGGTACCAATAAAACTGCTGTTATGGTGAGAGCTCTAAAAATTTTCCAATTCAGAAGTTTTCCTAATTAAAGGATCTATGTCTGGCCAGTGACAGTAACATCTGGTCATCTCAGTAGCAATGCAAACCAGTAATCCTTTTTATGGGAACACCTGGAAGTGACCTCCCAGCCTTGGGGTAAATCTGTGCTGTAGACGCACAGTGCAGCCCCTGGATCCCAGAAAGTCACTCCCCAAAACGGAGACAGCACAGACCTTCGTCACCCAGGCGGTCAGAATGGTGGTGTGGAGAGGGCGTCTCAGTTCTCCCACAAAATGTGAGGCTCTCCAGCCCTGAACCCGCTAACTCGTGGCCCCGGGCCGGCACGGCTGCACTGGGACCTGTCCAGCAGTAATGGGTGGCGAAGGGTGCGGTGACAAAGGCCCCATGTGGGCTGGGGCCACTCCTGACACAACCCCCGGGAGCTGGCACGTCCAGACAGAGGCGCACTGGGAACCCCAGCTTATCCCACTGGCCACCAGGTGCACCGTGGAAAGTGCACCTGGCCGACGGCGGGGACCAGAGAGGATATGGTCACAAAGCCTAGGCCCCAGGACACAGAACGAGAAGGAAAGAAAAACCTCATGTGATTTTTAGACGGAGGCCTAGAGCAAAGTTTGTCTCCGCAGACGCTGGTCTGGAGAGAGCTGCTTAGCTCCCCACCTGTGGGGCCGGCTCCCACTTATGGGAGCCTGTGCCCGTGTTCTGTCCCCGTGGTAGTTCCTTCTTAGAACAACGACACGCGAGACACACACAGGAAAAAACGAACATCTTTGGGAGAAAAGAATATAGAAAACCCTAGAGTGTCTAGGTGCAAGAAGTTAGTGTCACAAACATTTTTCCTGCCGATCTAAACTCAGAAAAGGCCTTGCACCACTTGCAGCTCCTACCCAGCCCTGCAGACAGAGACTGGGAGGCTGAGAAGGTGAGAAGGCTCTCCCATGGTTCCTGTGGCGTGGCCCTGACCTCCAGCTGCAGCAGTCCAGGGGGCTAGCAGGGTCCCCGCGAGAGCCCCCGGCTGGCTCGCCAAACCTGTGGCGGGAGAGTAACTTTCCTCCCACCTTCTAAGTTTTTCTGGCTGGACTAATCAAATGAACATGAGACAGGTTAGAAGGAGAAAATGGCCACACTTGTTGCATATGTACATACGGATTCCATAAGAAGTGGAGACTGTGAGCATACTGGTGCATTGCCCCATGAGGGTCTTCTCCCTCCGCGGTGCTGCCCCGGGCGGTTGGAGCTGCAATGGGGGCTGTTGAGTCCAGGCTGCTGGAGTGGGCCCAGCCAGCCCTCCCTGCTGCCGAGTCACACGAGGCTCAGCTTCCAACTGCCCTGCCCCACCGGGGTCCGGGGCTGTCACCGCAGCGTCACCCTCGGGGTCCCGCCTCCTGCCTGGGAGAAGCCGGCACGGACCTGCGCTCACACACACTGAGGGCTGTTTGTTCTTTATTTGCAGAGGTATTGTGGCCAGTATTTTGGTTTTCTTATGTTTTGGAGTCACACAAGCCAAAGACGGGCCATTTTCCAGACCTCATCCAGGTAACTTGCCGTTTCTTCTTCCGTGTGCGCCCGCGTGGCGGTTCTGTTCTGAGCGGTCACTCTGTGTCTGTGCTGCGGGGTGTGAGTGTCCTGCCCGTCCCTCTTCCTGGCCCCTTCTGGTCAGCCACCCACACTGTTGTCATCTGAGGAAGGCGAGGGGAGCGTTTCCAAGTTACCTGGAGGCTCCTCCTCCTTCAGCCCCCAGAGCTCCTTCTGCTCCTCAGCCGTTCTGACCCTCACCCTGCCCAGCAGCTGCCCTTGCCCGTCTCTGCCTTGGTCGGGGGCATTCTTCCTACAGACCCAGGTGCCCCAGGACTGCCCAGTGGGCTTGAGCAGGTGGCTGTGCCACAGGCCGTGAGGTATCCACCCTGCTGGCAGGTTCTTTTGCCTCTGCCTCCCACTCCTCAAAGTTATGGGGAGTTCTAACAAACCCCGGACCTCAGCTGGAGGGGAGCCCTGCCTGCCCTGCCCCCCCACCCAGGCCCCCGCGTGTTCAGGGCTCCAGCCTCACTGGGGGCAGGGCGTGGTTTTCCTGAAGGGTCACGACTGAGTAACATGATTCTTCTCTGTCTTAGTAGGGGTGTGTATTTACTGTAGAAAATTTGGAAAGTACAAAAAATATTATTAAAAATAAAAACTCACAAAAAATAACCACTATTAAGTTTTGATGTGTTTGTATGCTTGTACACATACATAGCTTTAAAAAATTGGAATCGTATGTGTGGGTTGATATCATGCATTTTCCACTTCAGGTCTAACACAGGCGTTTGCTTAGTTTTTTGTGACAGTTGGTTTTAATGGCTGCTTGTTTAGCCGTCATATGAGTGCACTACAGTTAATTTCACCAGTTCCATATGATTGTATATTTAGGGGTTTCCGATTTTATTGTAATAAGCTGGGCTATAGTGACTTTTCACACGTACCTGTGTGTGTACACACCTGATGATTCATTTAACAGAGTCCTGGGAGAAGTGGCCGGTACAGGGCACAGACAGGCCTGTGGGAGACGTTACCAAAGTGTCCTCCAGAAGGGACGTGTCCGCAGGGCGTAGTGGGCGCGCTGAGCAGTGTGGGGGCTCCTGCACGGTCTCGGCAGCCACCCTGCCCCTTTAGTGCCTGTTGGGGGCGTGGATGCTGGATCGCGCTGGCATGGACCCTGGCCATGGGCAGTGGTGAGCTTCCCGAGCTGCAGGGCCTGGCCCATGCTGAGGGGCGGGGAAGGGGCTGGCCCCCGAGTCCGGAGCTGCAAGACCATCTGCGCCTCTCAGTCACCTGGCACATCCAGGCCTTCCTCAGAAAGGTTTGGACTCCTAACCAGAGCAAGGGAAAAGTGAGACAGGTGTAGAAACCACCGGGATCACAGTGGAAACCCAGGTGCAGTTCAGTTTGTCAAATCGGTTTGGGAGGAAGAGTAAGAGCTGCTGAAGCCCAGCTGGAGCTGGTCACACCGGGCGCTGGATGCAGCTTGAGCCAGATAGACAGGCCCCTGCTGAGGCCAGACTGGCCAGCGGGCAGCCGCTTCCCAGCATGTGGCCCCTTGGCTCCGTCCAGTCTGTGATGCTGGTCATCTTTGAGCCGCCTGAGTGTTAAGCCAGGTTCCCTGTGCAGAGGGCAGCATAACATTTCTGAGTCCGACTCTGCCCTCCTCTCAGTTTAGTTGCTTTGCGTAAACTCCGTGTTTCCTCACCAGTCTCTGATGTAATTAATGAGGGGAGCCCGTCAGCTCCCAGGTGTCTTGTGGTTAGCAGGACATCCTCCAACTTCTCAAGTCAGCTTACAGTTGAAGTGAGTCTGTGGTCAGTGCTACACACTGAGACAAATGGCGAGGAGGATTTTCTCATCCCAGAGAGGGTGCTGGAGGGGGGCCCCCTGGCCTTGCCCAGGGGGCCCTCATGCCAAAACGTGCATTGTCTGCAAGAAAGGCGTCCTCTTGATGTGCATGTCCATCTGGCGGGAAGGCACCAGGGCTTCAAGGCGCCCAGATTCGATGTTTAGGAATAAGTGGGGGGCGCATATTGGATCCGGGAACCAGCCCCAGGAGTCCCAAGAGGAATGGAGACCCTGGTGATGCGAATGTGGGGGGAGGGCCTGCTGGGTCCTGGGGGATGTGGGCAGGCCTGGGCCCTGGTGGGCACTTCAGGGGGAGAGTGACAGGGACTCTTAGATTGCCCACCTTTCTGTTGGGGTGGGGCTCAGGGCGTGCTCTGAGTGGGGGTGTGCCAGGCGATAGGCAGCGATGGGGGAAGAGACAGTGCAGCCTCAGATGCGGTCCCCGAGCCCCCGGGACTGATGTGTGAGTGCGCCTGCGGCTGGGGAGGCTCCACTGCCAAGGGGCCGGGCACTGACTGGGCAGCAGCCCTGGGGGTGAGGGCGGCCCAAGTTACTTCACCACAAGCCTTTGGACCAGGGAGAACTTTCCAGGCTTCCCGCCCTCGAGCTGTTTCTCTTGAAGAATAAGTTTGTCACCTCAGCTGCTTATCCTGGAACTCGGAACTCCATTAGCAAACCTCCCTAAGAACGCACCACCTTTGTATTTCCTGCCTGTACCAGGCTGCTTTTTCATAAATCTCCATGGTGGTTTTCCCATCAGTACATGAGGCACAGTCCCCTAGGTTGCTGGGTTGGCCCTAGGAATCATGGGGACAGCCTGTGCAGTGAGCTGCTGCTGAGGAACATAACGTCAGGCTTTGGCACCCCCCTCACATCCCCCCAGCTGACTGCCCGTCCTCCAGTCTGCTCTCCCGGCTGCAGGAATATTTCCCCAGAACAGCCATGGCCCAGCCTTGGATCTCTTGGTGCAGAGTCTTAAAAGTTTGTGAGCAGCACCTTTTTTATTCAAGGTGAATTCGTTTTTAAAAGTAGGCTGGTGATTTTATTTTACAGACATAAGCAAAGGGAAACTGGATACCTTGGGCCTTTATTAGTAGGATTATCAAGAACCTTGGAAGGTAAAAGTTATCATTTGCATTTTAGAATAGTTCTGGACTTCTCTCGTTATCTTGTCCCCCAGTGAAAAACTTACCCCATTGGGGGGGGGGGTGGAAGCAAGTGGTAAAGAGTGGAGTCCTGGCTGATAAAGGAATTTTGAGGGGCGAGTTCTTCTTCCCCAGCATTACTAAGATAACACTGACACAGAGCATTGTGTAAGTGTAAGGTGCACAGCGAGGCGATGTGATGTGCACACAGATTGTGAAATGGTTACCACATTAAGGTTAGCTAACACCTCCACCACCTCTTATAATTACAGTGTGGTGGTTTTTGGTGGTGAAGACGTTCGAGATCTACTCTCACTGACTTTGAAGCATGCAATACAGTGTTGTTGACGTAGTCGCCAGAGGGATAAGTTCCTACTGTGTGCTGGTTGGAACTGAAGACAGTTTCCTAAAACAAACCACCATGAACAAATTGGGTTTAATCCCAGGAATTCAGAGCTGGTTTAACATTAGAAAATGTGTGAATGTAATTTGTCACATTAACACTAAAGAAAAACGTTGATCCTCTTAAATGCAGGAAAATAAAATCTCATACTGGAATTAAAAGATTTTCTTAACGTGATAAAAGGTATCCACCAAAAACCTACTGCAGACCTATTTCCTGTGGACGGTTAGAAACATTGCTAGTAAATACAGGACAAGCATTTTTGCTGTCACTGCTTCTGTGCCCTAGTTGATGGGCCTTCTGGGCCGCTGCAGTGAGACAAGAAAAAGAAAAGATTTAAGGACTGGAAGGGAAGAAAAGGAAGGAGAAAGCATTCAGAGAGAAACTGTGCTCCCTTCTGAGTTAGGTCTTGCTTTATAAAATCTCTACTGGGGGGCTGGCCGAGTGGCACAGTGGTTAAGAGCTGGCTTGGGACGCCAGAGGGCCCCGGTTCGGATCCCACATATGAGGGCCAGTGACGCTGCCCTCTACCAAAAAAAAAAAAAAAAGTCTCTACTGGGGACAGAAGGGGGCCCAGAACAGATGGCCCATGTTTCCAGGAGCCACGTGTGCAGGACTCCGTGGAAGATGGACTCTGCCAGGAACTGGCGGGCCTGGGCTCCTAACGCTGTGTTCTCTGTGTCTTTGTAGCGTACTGGAGGTTTTGGCTGTGCGTCAGTGTGGTCTACGAGCTGTTCCTCATCTTCATACTCTTCCAGGTAAGCGGCTTTTGTTGGTTGGGTAAACTGTGGGAATTTAGGTGATGATGTGGTGCCCAGGTAAGTGAAACGTGACTGAGAAGGTTTTGAACATCATTCCCTCCAGAACTTGGGTGGGAAGTGTCAACAAAAGTCCCCAGTCTGAGGTGTGGAAAAGAGGAGAAACTTTATTCAAGTGAACAGCTAGCAAAACGGGGAACCGGCCTCTGAAGAAAACCGAAAGTGCATCCTGGAGACAAAGGGGAGGCCGCCTTTTATAGAGAAAGTTCCTGCCCTGGTTCACAATTAGTCCATTTCTGTGCAAGGAGGAATCCAGATTTGCGTGCGCAGTCTGATTGGTGCAAATAGCACTGTTGTGATTGGCCAGCTTTATACTTTCTGATTGGTTGTTATGGAGCCACTATGATTGGTCAGAAGCTCCATTTGGATGTGGCAGGTCTCAGCCCATTGGTCAAAACACCATACCAGGAACTCCCTTATAAGGGTCGGCTCAGCCAGCAGGAGCACAGTGCAGCAGCTTGAAGGCTCAGTCTGTGTTTTCCCTGAAATGCAGAGTGTGTGCGAGGCAGGCATCTGTCAGCAACGGCTGCTAGACTCTGGTTTTGAACTTGAGTTCCATTAACCACAGGGAGTCCTTCTTGGCAGATACAGTCCTTCTTGGGGTCCACAGAAGCAAGGCTGGACCCCAACAAAAGTGGGCGGAGGCTGCGACGGGACCGCCCAGGACGATGTGTTTGTGGGAAGCCTGGAAGCACCGCCCTCCAGCAGAATCTGTTGTAAGCACGGAGCACCGTGGTCCTGGACCTCTGGTGCAGGGTGTCTGCGTGGGCCCCGCCCTCACCGTCTGCAGGGCCAAGCGGAACAGACGGTTCAGGTGTGGCCACCTTTGCTTTGAGTGGCAGGTTCTCCAGATCTGGGCAGGGGCCACACCTGGAGAGGAGCACGTCTGACCCCACGACACAGGCGCTATGAGGGTTTGAGGTGGACCCATGGCCAAGCCTCACGGGGGTGTGTAGGTTTTTTGTTTTGTGGTTGACCAGTGGTGGCTTCGCGTGCTTTTCTCCCTGCTGGCACACATGCTGGGAGATGGCCGGTGGAGCTGGAAGCTGGCCTCCTTAGTAAATGTTGGATCAGGATTTGTGGTCAGTAGTGTCCGTTTTAGTAATATTTCTTGTTCCGCTTAATTTAGTGAACACACATTGTGATGGTGATCTTCAGTTTACCAAATGCTTTCATAGTCACAGCCTCAGAGCTGTCAGTGTGCTCGCAGCTGGTGATGGGTCATCACAGGGTGAATTTTACTTTTTAGGGTAGGTGTACAGTTCTGTGAATTTTAATACATTTATATTTGTGTAAACACCAGTGAGGACAGAGACCAATCCCGTCCCCCCAAATGCCCTCGTGTTACACCTGGAGAGTCGTATAACACGGGCAACCACTGCCCTTTCCCCTCCATCTCCAGTTTTGTCTTGGAGAATCTCCTACAAACAGAACTGTACATGACCTTTGATGCCTCTGAAATTCACGCAGCTTGTCAACACTCTGCTGCTTTTTATTGCCGCGCCGTCTCGGTGACATGGACGTACCAGTGTGTCCATTCACCAGATGCTGAGACATTTGAGTTGTTTCTGTTTGGGGCTGTTGAGAACAGAGCTGCTCTATCGCCCTGCCCCTATCCGTGTGCGCCTGAGCTGCCTTCTCTGGGGCAGCCACTGCTTCTGCGACGAGTTTACGGAGCTGCCCCACGCCTCCCAGAGGGCTGGGCCACTGTGTTCCCAGCAGCGCTGTGTGAGACCCAGGCGTCTCATGTTCTTGTCAGCGGCTGGGACTGTCAGACCTTTCATTTCAACCACTCTTAATGGGAGCAACGTCTTAGCCGGTTCTGATTTGCGTTCCTTGAGTGGCTGATCATGTCAACCAGCTTCTGTGCGTTTATTAGCCGTGCAAACATTCCTTGTTCAAGTCATTTGCCTTTTTTAAAAATTGGCTTGTTTTTGTAGTGTTCAGTTATGACAGCTTTTTATATAGTCTGGGTACAAGGCCGTTGTGGGATGTGTGACCTTCAAATGTTTTCTCCAAGTCTGGCGGCCCTTCATTTATTAAGTCGTATTCATTAGTTTTTCTTTTCTGGATTGCGATTCTGATGGCATGTGTAAGATTCCTTTGTCTAACACCATGTTCCTAAGATTTTTCTCCTCTGTTTTCTCCTGAAAGTTTCATAGTTATAGATTTAAAGTTAGATCTCAATTTTGAGGATTAAAAAAAAATATCTTGTTTTGAAATAATCCTAGATTCACAAGAAGTTGTAAAGACTTGTACAGGGAGGTTCTGCGTGCCCTTCCCCCAGTTCCCTGTGGTGACGCTGCATAAAGCCAGGGCAGCACTGACCCAGGGAGCTGACCCGTGCACAGCTACCACGCGTCACCAGTTTCCATGTACATACACAGATGTAAGAGTTCTATGCAGCTCTTTTTTCATGAGAAAAAATTTTATTTATGAAAATCTTAAGCAGTACTAAACTCAGAAGCTCCACTTAGGTGCAACAAACATGGATATGATGCCAAGCAACACTAGTCTATTTCTTAAATAAGATTTAAGTTTGACAGAGCATAGTAGTTCTTAAAGCAGCCATCATCAAATTTCAACATGATCCTGTCTATTTTTAAAGAAGCAAGGCTAGAATGAGCTATAGAGGTTTTTTTTTTAAGAGTATGTTAAGTGACGGATGGAATTCCATGAAGGGATCAGAACAAAGGTTGAACATGGCTTGGGCAAAGCACGTCATGTAGGTGGAACGCTGATGCCATAGCGACCCCGTGGCCCACAGGCTCACTAAGACTGCCAGCGTCTCCCGAGGGTGAACAGGTGGCTTTTCCCAGCCACCTGTGCACAACTTATTGTCGCTCAGTTTCTGCTAAAGCCTGTGGCACAGCCAGCTGCCTCCAGGTAAATAACTGCTCCCGCCTAGAAGAGACCCTTGGCCCTGTTCATGTTAGAACAGGGGGAACGTGACATTAAAAAATTTTAAGGTCCAAAACCTATAGAAAACTGAGTTGTACAGAGACTTAGTTTCAGACCATTTTGAAGAATTTTTGAGCTTTAACATAACATCTTTTCAGAGACTGTGGCATATGAGGAACCCACCAATTATTACAAATAAGTTAAGAGCAGAAAAAGACCTTGTGACCAAAATGGGGAGGACGGTATGAAAATATTTACAAGAAAGGTTCAGAATATGGGAGTATTTACAGGATGTGAGAACTGCCCGTCTGCAGCCCTCGTGAGGCGCCTTCGAGCTCCCAGAACCTCTGCTTTCTTCTCCTTTCATTCTTGCTCGTTGCCCCTCCTGGGCCTGGAGACAGGCCGAGTGTAAGTCTCCTGTGGAAGCGGACTGCTGACATGCTCATTCTGAGACTCATTTTCTTCAGATGGTCCTGTGGTTTCAGTTTTCCTCTGTGTGGCTTACAGCTGAGGGGACGAGACAGACGTGCATTGGGATCAGACACTGGCTCCTCTGGTGGCCCGGGGTCTGTCTGCTTTGGCTGTCACCTTGGGAGGGGCGATAACCGTGGTCTTACTGTGTGTCCCAAGCACAGCCTGGCCTTGTGAGGCGCTTCCAGCCACGGTCCTCTGTGGAGTCTTTCTGGCTGGAGTCTTGGTCAGTGGGCGCTTGTGCTCCAATCTGTAATGTAGTGCTGGTGGAGAACCTGATTCCCAGTTTAGGTGCCGCGGCCTGCAGCACCCGGCCGGCCTCGCACATGCTGCTGGCTGGTGCAGGACAAGCCACAGCGTCTTCCTTGGAGACACGCTGGAGTTGCCAGCTGTCCCTTAGTGACGACGGGCTGCTGCTGCAGCCCTCCAGGTAGATTGTGGTGGTCAGAATGGTTCTTTTTCATTGTATTTTTTTTTTTAAGATTTTTTAAATTTTTTATTGGTGAATTGGGGGGATGGGAACAGTGCTGGGGAATTGGGGGAAGGGGGACAGACAAGTTGCTGTCGTTTTGTTCTTCAGTCTAGTTGTGGAGGATGTTGCTTCACTGGCCCAAGTTGACACCATCATTGCGCTCTTCCCGGGTGAGG